TTAAAATRTGCAATAGTGTTATTTCGATAATTATTAAATAATAATAAAATTTTAACAATATTATAGTCAATAGTTTKGCAAATATTAGATAATATYTRTAATGTTTTGACTTAACTAATGGATATTTTAGTCGATTATATTTCATTGAATAGATTATTGACCAAAATTTTTGATAATTTTSATTACAATCCTGATATAACCAGTTYAGTGTCGATAGTATWATACTAAACAATAGTATTGATGTTATATAGGCWAATAGATAGCCATTGCCYAGTATATGTGTACAATCGCCTACCAGTGCYAAYAGATAGGGATTATCAGTTGAACCAATTATTGTAAATCTACTAAATGTTATGATTAAACATAATTTCCAAACAATTACTATCGACACCCGTTTCAAATTCAATGGTCGTCTATAGTATTGGTCGTCAATTGTTTTGAAAAATGTTATATAATTTGATTGAATAAACTGTTCAATAGTTTCAATTATATATTTAATATCGAGATTATTGAAATAGTTTCTAATATATGMATAAATAATTAGATAAACAAATACACTATAAGTTTTTAGTAAAACGTATAWTAATTTAATACAATTGATGCAAAAACTAATTATATTAAACATATTTAAAAATATTTAATTTAATATTTTAAAAAAATGAATTAAATATAAATTATTTTTACTATATTTTTTTATAATGTTTTTCAAATAAATATTAAGTTTTAATTAACGAAAATAAGTTGACTATAATTATAACGATTTTTATTGTWATAAATTTAATAYTTCAAAAAATAATATTGATTTTATTMAATATATTATAATTATTATATTGCATTAATAATAGTCAAAATAATATTTAATAGACGATTATTTTAACTTTTATTTTATATATGAATTAAAATAATATAAATATATATATAATTATATTATAATATAATAACAACAACAACAAAAAAGTAGAAATTGATTTATAATAATAAAAATTACAGTAAATTATAAATTAATTAATATAAATTATCGTATAAATTAAGATATTAAATATTTTACTAAAATTAATTATATTTTTAATTACAATCATAAATAATTTAATATTTATAACTTATCTTTTAGGAAATTAAAATTAAGTAATTTTATTCAAAATAAATATATTCATTAATAATATTAAATATTTTTCAATATTATAATATTGTTATTTGACTTATTATTAATTTACTTGTATTGTTTTGACTAAATATTTCATAATTTTTATGTATAGTATTTCATAATTTTATTTTACTTATACTATAATTTAATTAATAAAATGTTATGAAATTCATACTATGAATAATTATAATAKACATAAAATGCAATAATTTAATTAAATATAAAATTATTTTAATATTCTATATATATATATATATATATATAAATATAATTATATTTATTACAAAAAAATTAAAAACATTTCAATATAAATTTTAGTACTTATATATATATATTATATATATATACAGTATATTATAATATTTTTAGTTTATTGAATATTGAAWTTTAGTCTATAATATTAAAATCAAAATAGTTTATTGTTTAGTCAAATATTTAATCAAAAGTGGAAATAAATAATAAATACAATTTTTTTTAAAAAAAWCTTATAATAAGTTCAATGCCTATTAATAAGTATATATATAGTAWATATTTATATATATATTAACCAAATGTWKWAATAAATAGGAAATAAATATTAACAAAATTAATCATAAGTTSATAGCAAACAAAACTAGTTATCGGATATAAATTATARCAATAGATAGCAATCTTAGGACCAGTGGATAGACRTTCAATAAACCGKAGGACACGTAGTCTATCAATCGGTGATGACATACGTGACCAACGATTTACATACGAGTGCATCATCTCAAGTGGCCTATAGGCTAATCGGTACAGCCATATAGACATTATAGTTATTAATGCAAACACATTGAACTGTACTAAAACACTTGCAATCATAAACAGTCGCATCCATACATTGATATCGTTGTGTCGGATCAGATAAAATACAAATACAATTATTGAACAATAGATATAGAAATAGATGGCAATAAAAATACATAARTATTGATTAACCCAAACAGTCAATTGGCTGACATACAGGTGCTCACGGATAATATCCTGGATTTGTCTAATGCCAGCAAAATATTTTGATGCGAAAATTAATTTACGAAATTTTCTAGAAATTTCCCAAAATTTTACTAACAAATAGGTTATGGGTAATATATAAATAACAAACAAATAGCATGTAAATTTAATAAAATGTTTGAATGTWATATAAGTAATACTAGTCCATATAGTGATAATGATAATAATTACTGATATATTAGATAATAATTGTATTGTTTGATTAGATAAATAAATTATTAATAATAYTAAATGTATTATATTTCCCATTAAGAAAGTTATCGGATAATATAGTTTGAAATAATTGAAAATAAATAGTTTCAAAAATAATTGATATATAAAGTTTATCATAACAAACATTAAACATATCAATATTATTACTAATATATAAGATAATAGATTTCCATTGCCCAGTATATATGTACAATCACCTACCAGTGCCAATAGATAGGGATCCGTAGTATTTGAAATAATAATACATCTAATWATTGTTAAAATACAACATAATTTCAATAGTATTGATATCCAAACACGTTTCCAATTCAATGRTCGCCTATAGTATTGGTCGTCAATTGTTTSRAAAAATGTTATATAATTGCTGTGAATATAGTATTCAAAACTATCAAATATATCTTTAATATTAAGACTATTKAGATAATTTATTATTGAATTATAAATCAATTTGTAAATCAATACAATTGTCGTATGAATTAAAACATAAGTAATTTTAATTATGTTAATTATATTTCTAATTACAATCATAATTATTATTATTATTTTGTTTTTAAGTTTTAACTCTTAAAGTTTTATTGAAATTTTTGTATTTTTATTTTTAATATTATATAAATTTTGAAAACTATAAAATTGTTATCTGACTTATTATTATTATTATTATTAATAATTTTTACTTCTATTGTCTAAACAGACTAAATATAAAACTAGTTTATTGTTAGTTATAAATAAATTTTAAAACTATAATTTTTTGGTTTTTTCTTATACAGTATTTTTTTTTATAATTATTTTCTATTAAATCATAATATAATTTATTTTTAATTAGTAAATTGTATGAATAATTTTCAAAACTAAAGTGCAATTATCTAAAAATCATAATTAATTTAATATCATATTTTAGTAGAAATAATAGATTTCAGTATAAATCTATTTTTATTATTTAAAATTTAAAAAATTATTTCGACTTATTTTAATTATTAGATAATATAAAATAATATTTTTTTATTTTGCTTATAATTATTAATATTATATTTTAAGACATCAATGCTAATTATTAGGTTGCATGAATAATTGCTAAATAAAATCAACTTTTATAATAATAATAATAATATAAATAATAAATTTTATGATTATTTTATATTTGTTTTTCATATATATATACAGTATATATATTGAATATATAATTGAATATATATATATATATTATTTGCCTAAAAAATTATTATTAGTTTCGATAGATAAATAGTTGTTTGAAAACTATTTAGTTTTTTGAAAATTGCAAACTGAAAATACTGTACAGGTTTTCAATTATTATAAAAACTATAATATTTTATCCTATCTAAACAATGTATGGAAAACATACCAGTCCTCTCTYTCTCTYTCTCTCTCTCTCTCTCTCTCTCTCTCTCTCTCTCTCTCTCTCTCTCTCTCTCTCTCTCTCTCTCTCTCTCTCTCTCTCTCTCTCTCTCTATCCAATCATAATATAAATTAATTTTATTAATGTATTGATATATATATATACACCCAGTGCTCATGTTTTAGTATTGTAAATTTATTATATATATATATATATATATATATACTGTATAATAGAAATAAATTTCAATAGTAATTTAAAAATAATATATTTAATTAACCATAATAATATTTTTATAGGAAATTTATATATATATATATATATTTAATTTTCTAGTAATTATTAGTTTATATATATATATATATATATTGAAAGTTCAATTTAAAATAAATTTATTCAACAACAGCAACAAAAACAACAAATAATAATATTTATAATTATTTAAATATTTTATTAGTATTTTATCTGTATGTGTATATATATAATATATGTTCACAAAAAAACTAAATATAATTACAATCAAACTTAAATCAAATTAAAATACTAATTGTTTGTTAAAAACTTTTATACTAATATTAATATACTGTATATTAACTTATATATACTGTATATACATTTATTTTAAGGTTTTATTTTACTACATTATATATTTAATAAATTATAAAACACACACATTTATATGATATATTACCAAAACAATATATGATTTATACAATATATATATATTTAATTATTAATAATTATAAATAATTAACACAAAATTTGTTTTTTAAACTATTATTGAAAACTATAGACAAACTCCAGTACAGATAATTAAGTACAGTAAACACACTGTACAGTTGCGCACAATTTATTAAACTAATGATGACTTATATGATGAGTATTACATTAGTCCTATACATCCAATGATAAAACCAAACAAACAAATTATCACTTAATTTGCAATAAATAGATATATATATATTTTCATTTAAAAAAATAAATAAAAACTTCACTTTTTAAAAAGTTACTTAACTATAATTATAATAAACAAAAACAAAAAATAATAAAAAAAAATCATATTTATCTATAAATAATTTTAAATTTTTTTTATTAAAAAAAACTATAGTATTTATTATACAGTATTTAACAAATATAATTGATATAATTTTCTATTATAAGATTAAAAAAAATAAATTGAATAATTAATTAATTAAATAAAATAATATTAATTTCTAATATATATATATATTTTCCATTCAAAATACTATACTATAGGCTATCACGGAACTGGCGGCTACCTGTCCGTATCGTTGCCACCCTACCTGACCCCGTTRGCCCATGCATTTACCAGTGCCGGCCAACTACTCGGCTATCCGACCATCGACTACAACGGACCCGTTCAAAGTGGTTTTGCCGTACCGCAGGGCACACTMCGATCGGGTGCCCGATGTTCGACAGCCAAGGCCTACCTAATACCGGCCAAATCGCGGCCCAATTTGCACGTAATTGCCTTTGCCTTTGTCACCCGTATCGTTGTGGACGATCATCGTCGGGCTACGGCCGTCCAATTTGACCGTTTCTCGCTGTCCTACATTGTCTACGCCAATCGCGAAATTCTGGTAGCGGCCGGTGCTGTCAATTCACCGCAGCTGCTAATGTTGTCCGGTATAGGACCGGCTGATCATCTGAAATCTATGGGCATTCCAGTGGTGGCCAACTTGCCCGTTGGCTACAATCTACAGGATCATATCTATGCCGGGGGTATACACTTCAAAATCAATCAGCCSATACCGTTCAGCCACGARCGTACGTTTAACGGTGCAAATATGGCCAAATATTTTACGGCCGGTACYGGACCGCTAACATCACTGGGCGGTGTCGAAGGCCTRGGATTTGTTAGCACCAAATACGCCAATCTGACCGACGATTGGCCAGACTTTGAAATACATTTGTCRTCSGCAACGGTAACCACTGACGGCGGTCGCGGTCTRACACATTATGCYGGSCTYACGGAYGAAGTCTACGCCCAGGTATACAAACCCTACTCGACCAGTCACTCGTTTTCGTTAGATCCGGTACTACTGCGGCCRAAATCMCGCGGCTATATCCGCYTGMGRTCACCCAATCCGTACGATCATCCRGTTATCGAYCCGAAGTACTTTACCGATCCGGACGACATACACTCGATGGTCGAAGGTATGAAAATATCCATTGCTGTCGGTATTGGACCACCATTTCGGAAGTTCGGGTCYCAACTATTYMGGACAATGTTTCCCGGMTGCGARTCCTATCCCTACCTGAGCGACGAATACCTGGCCTGYGTTGCCCGCAGCTATACGGCCACTATCTATCATCCGTCGGGTACGTGTAAAATGGGCGCCAAATGGGATCCGACGGCCGTAGTCGATCCCAGACTMMGGGTACTCGGTGTACGTGGCCTGCGGGTAGTCGATGCCAGTATTATGCCTACGATTGTATCCGGTAATACCAATGCACCGGTTATTATGATTGCCGAACGGGCCGCTGATTTTATTAGAGCCGAAAAATCAAGCGATTATCTAAAATTGGCYGCAATTTTATAGGTATACCGGTGTGTGTGTRTGAGTGTGTGGGTGTGTATTKTATACCTGTAATTGGTGTCTCTCTGTGCATATATTATATAACATACATGAGCTCTGGCTATGAGGTTAGATATACTGTACACTAGTATGTGAAATGTTTAGTCAATAAAAAATAACTACAATTAGATATATTGATATATTATATAAATAATATTTTTAAAAAAATAATTTAATTAATTAATTACAATAATTATTTTTATCGTGTTTTTTCATACAAATTAATTTATAAATATTTTTTTTGTTTTAAATAATTAGTAATAAATATTGTTTATATCATTGTTTTCGAGATTACATTAAAATATATATTTATTAGAAATKTTTTTTGTTGTTAGATATAAAAAATAACTAAAAATTAATTACATTATAGTATGACAATTCACAATAAGTTATTTATATTGTAATAATAATTTATTATTATTATTATTATGTATTGTAATAATATATTTTATATATAAGTGTTAACTAATTAATTTCATAAGTCTAATATTTTTCAATAATAATAATAATAATAAATATCACATTTTTAATAATAATTTTAATTATTATTACATATATTTTTTTTTAAAAAATACAATTGTTTTTAATTTCAAAAAATAAAAATTTTATGTCAATTGGTGCCATACATTAGTTAGACATTTATATTATTAGTTTCATTATCATTATTATTAAAACAAGTTTATTAATAAATTTTTAATACTATATTCGTATTTAAATACAAATAATAATAAATTTTAAATATTTGTAAACTTAAATAAAATAAAATTATAAAAACTATTAATATTGAATTGTTATATTGAATACATTATATACAGTATATACTGTATATATTATATAAGTAATAAATAATTGTAAATAATACTGTAATTTACTTATATGACAAAACAACAATTTATTTTTATTTTTGATCAATAAATCATTTATTTTTTGTTACATTAAAAATTGAAAAATTAATAATATTAAACTAATTTCTAATTACATTTATATAGAAATAAGTGCAAAATCAGTTAATAAAAGATATAAATAATTTTTAAAATATTAATTAGGTCTTTTAAATATAATCATAATTAATTTAATATATATATATATATATATATATTTATTTATTTAAAATAAAAATGTTAAATATCTATTCACAATAAAAAAAAGTCAAACATATATTCATTAGAAAAATGTCATAAATTTATATACAATAAAAATGTCAAATATTTATTAAATATAAAAATTAATAATTATTTAGATTATTTGGTAATAATATATAAAAAATTTTTGCTTATTATTATATTACATGAGTAATTGTTGTTTATAAAATATGTTTAACTATATTTTTTTTAATAATATACCGTTAATTATCTAATTGTACATTGGTGATATATTGAAAAGTTAATTTTAACGAACAATTGTTATCAAAAATATAATTTCATGTTTATTTTATTTTATATGTTAATAATTAATTATTTTATTGTGTGCACAATATTTTTTTGATAACTATAAATAATTAACTTTATTAACTTTTCATAAACAATATAATATAGTAATACTGCCATTATATAAAATAATATGATGTGTATGTGTATGTGTATGTGTATGTGTATGTGTATGTGTATGTGTATGTGTATGTGTATGTGTATGTGTATGTGTATGTGTATGTGTRTGTGTATGTGTATGTGTATGTGTGTGTGTATGTGTATGTGTATGTGTATGTGTGTGTGTGTGTATGTGTATGTGTATGTGTATGTGTATGTGTATGTGTATGTGTATGTGTATGTGTATGTGTATGTGTATGTGTATGTGTATGTGTATGTGTAATAAAAATATATTATAGTTCAATCAAATTAATTAATATTTATTAAATGTTTGAACAAATAACATATAAATATTTGCAAAATGTATGATAAACTGATAACAAATATAACTAGTAATCGGAAAAAAATTATAACAATAAACAGTAATCTTTGGACCGGAAGATAAACGTTCAATAAAACCGAGGATATGTAGTCTATTCCTGAGTGACATACGTTGTCGGTGTGGCCAACGATTCAGATACGAGTGCATCAGTTCAAGTGGACAGTGGGCTAATCGATACAATAGTATAGCCGTTAGGGTTAGTATAGCAACCAACAGGAATTGTACGATAAGTACTAATATCATTGAAAATCTAATCAATAAATTGATTTCATTGTGTTGTAAGCAATACAATAKAAATATAATTGTTGCCAAATAAAGATAARTGTAGACAAAAATAGCAAAACAAATATATTGATTAACCCAAACAGTTAGTTTGGTTACATAATAGTGTTCMCKAATACAAGCCATTAGTTTWTCAATTKGTCCTAATTTTMTGGTAATTTGACGTAAATTGTTGGCAATTATCAAATATTTCAACATTAAATAGATAATTGATATAATTRTYAGAAATAATATATAAAATATATAATKATAAATATGTATGAGAGCTAACATAATATAATAGCCGATAAAATGTTAGTAAYYAATAYTGATATWGTTATATGGCTAATTGCATTATAATTAACTAATGAAATTATTAATAAAATTAGATAAATTATATTAGAAATTACAATCAGTATCGGACAAAATATTTGGAAAAAACAAAACAATAATAATTTAATGAATAATTTATAATAATTAAATAGTTTATCATCTAATGGATACTTTAGTCGACTATATTTCATTGAATAGATTATTGACCAAAAATGTCGATAGTTTTCATTATTGYAATCCTGATATAACCAGTTTGTATTGATAAGCATTACACAAGTGATTACCATTGCCGCTATATTAGATAATAGATAACGATTGCCCAATATTTGTGTAATATCACCTACCAGTGCCAATAGATASGGATCATCAGTTGAACCGATATTAGAAATTTAATAATAATTAACAAACAAAACAATTTCAATACTATTGCTATCGAAACACGTTTCCAATTCATGGGTCGTCTATAGTATTGGTCATCAATTGATGAAAAAAATGTTATGTAATTGTTTTGAATAAAGTGTTCAAATAATTCAATTAAATCTTTAATATTATTATTATTATTATTATTGACATAATTTCTAATTGAATTATARATAAATWTRTAAATCAATACAATTGTCGCTTGAAATAAGATATAAATAATTTTTAAAATATCAATTAATTTCTTAAATACAATCATAATTAATTTAATAAAAATATCAAATATTTATTCACAATAAAAAAAATCTAAATATTTATTCACAATAAAAAATAGTCTAAATATTTATTCACAATTGAAATATCAAGTATTTATTTACAATAAAAAAGTCAAAAATTTATTTATAATATAAATGTCAAAAATTTATTTACAATATAAATGTCAAAAATTTATTTACAATATAAATGTCAAAAATTTATTTACAATATAAATGTCAAAAATTTATTTACAATAGAAATGTCAAATATTTATTAAATATAAAAATTAATAGTTATTTAGATATTAATCATTTGATAATAATAAAAAATAATTTTTTTATGTATAACTATATTAATATTATTTAAAAAAAAAAAACAATGACTGCTTATTATTAGATTACATGAGTAATTGTTGTTTATAAAATATGTTTAACATTTTATTTATTTATTTTTATATAATATAACGTTAATTATCTAATTCTACATTGGTGATATATTGAAAAGTAAATTTTAACGAACAATTGTTATTGAAAAATATAATTTCATGTTTATTTTTTTATATATTTATAATTAATTATTTTTTTTGTATGTGCATAAAATATTTTTTTTAACTATAAAAAATTATTATTATTATTATTGGTTTAATATAAAAAAATTTCATAATTTTTACGAACTTTTCATAAAAATATTTATGTGTGTGTGTGTGTGAAATGTGTGTGTGTGTGTGTGTGTGTGTGTGTGTGTGTGTGTGTGTGTATGTATGTGTGTGTGTGTGTGTGTGTGTGTGTGTGTGTGTGTGTGTGTGTGTGTGTGTGTGTAATGTGTGTGTTGTGTATATATATATGTGTGTATATATGTGTGTGTGTGTGTGTGTATATATATATGTGTGTTATTTATTAATGCATTTTGTAGTGTTTAGATTAATCTAMTAATATATTATAGTTAAATTAGTTAATTAATTAAATGTTTTAACAAATAACATATACATATTTGCAAAATATATGATAAACTGATAACAAATAAAACTAGTAATCGGAAAAAAATTATAACAATARAYAGCAATCTTTGGACCGGAAGATAAACGTTCAATAAATCCCTGAATATATAGTCTATTCCTCAGTGACATACGTTGTCGGTGTGGCCAACGATTSACATACGAGTGCATCAGTCCGAGTGGACAGTGGGCTAATCGATACAATCGTATRGCTGTTAGGGWTAGTATAGTAACCAACAGGAATTGTACGATAAGTACTAATATCATTGAAAATCTRATCAATAAATTGATTTCATTGTGTTGTAARCAATACAATAGAAATATAATTGTTGTCAAATAAATATAATTGTAGACAAAAATACCGAAACATAWATATTGGTTAAMMCGGACAGTTAGTTTGGTTACATAATAGTGTTCCCTAATACWGGTCATTAGTTTTTCAATTGGACCTAATTTTATGATAATTTGACRAAAATTKTTRGCWATTTCCAAATATTTAAGCATCAAATAGWTAATCGAYATAAATAATAGAAATAATAGATAAAAAATAARTTTATAAAMATGTTTGARACCTAACATAAATATAATAGCCATAAAAATRTTACTAATCAATAKTGTYATTGTTAAATTGTTAAYTAAATTATAATTAACYAATGTAATTATTATTAAAACTAGATATAATATATWGCYAATTAAAATTAGAAACGGACAAAAAAAATTTAATAAATAAAATATWGTTAACTTAATRAATAATTTATAATWATTAAATAGTTTWTCRTCTAATGGATASTTTAGTCGACTA